CGCCGCCCTGGTACCCGCCGTCCCGACCGCCGCCCTGGTACCCGCTGTCCCGACCGCCGCCCTGGTACCCGCCACCGCCGCCGCCCTGGTACCCACCGTCCCGACCGCCGCCACCGTAGCCACCGCCGTGACTGTTGTTACCGTACCCGTCCCTGCTGTTGCCGTAGCCGCCGCCGCCGCCGCCGCCCTGGGCCTGGCTGTGGCTGGACGGTGCGGGCGCTGCGGCCTCCGCCACGTCGGGGAAGGTCTCCTCGTCCGCTTCAGCCCAGTCCTTCGACATGATTGTTTAATGGGGTGTTGAAATCTGCTTGGCTCCTGTTTGCGTTTCGCCATCACGCAACGGAAGGGCGGCACGCGGACAGAACCAGCCGTGGGTCAAACCGGCGGTGGGCAGGTAAAGCTGAGGCGTTATCGTATATGAATTACCTGCGATGTGCTCACCACAGTTTCTTCGCCTCCCGACAATTGTGGACGCATAATAGCACTGCTCTATGTCATGAGCAGGGCATAGGTATGCATGTGCATGTGCATATGCATTGGATTGATACCCGCGACGGATGACACACACCGAACACGTGTGCTGTGAATCCTACAGAGCGATTGACGTAGTGCTACACATACCTTCGACTGTTTAGAAAACCCACAACAAACAGGTTACCATGAGTAATGACATGTGCATGTGGGGTACCACTGACATCATGCTACTCGACCCCGCCGCCTCAGACATGCGAATGCATGCAGTGCTGGGGGGTGCCGACAAAACAGCGCGCGCGCGTTGCCAGTTGTGAAAAAAAAACGTGTGTGAGTTGTAGAGACAGAAAAATTGCAATTTGAAGTGAGAACGTGCAACTTGCGTGTTCACGCAACGGCAGGTACAACAACTCTCTATGGAAGCAGCTCGACCTGGATCGAAGCAAGACATGTGACACATCAACGCCCAAGGAAGTGCCAACAAGCTGGATGGCCTCTGTTGCAACGGAATAAGTTTCATCTTATTTCGGACCGCCAAAAGGGATGGTGTTGACAGCATTCACAGCAAAGGAGATGGAGGCAGGAGGAGAGACAGCGCGTGTGTGGTGCACCACACATTGCCTACTTCGTACTAAGATTGAGATTCGTCCGGACACTAAAAAGCAGCGCAATGAAGGACAGGGCAGCCCGTGCGTCTCCTACGTCATCCATGGTTGGTAATGCTCGCCCAGTCGGCGCGAACACACACCCGAGCGGGTGGGGATGGTTTCTTTCCGAATCAGCACAGCAGGACCAGGGGCAGCGAGAGAAGGAGCCCCACAAATCCCGCTTCACCCAGCTCGCCTCATATATTTCAACAGTGAGCTGAAAAGAGCGAGAGAAACAGCACGCACGGATCCACCCGACGCACCTGCTCACCTTTGCACAGCTGCTGATGGTAGGAAACACTACTGCTGCTGCTGCTGCCCTCAGGGATACGAACAACCCGCGGGGCCGCGGTAGCGGAGCCGGAGGCAGGGCCACACCCTTCTGTGCTTGACATACATACTGCGGGGCCCCGAACTGGAAATGTGCTGTGTGAATGCTGCAATGGGGCATCGTATAACCAGCAACGTGCTGACCGGCCCAACATGGCCGACGCTGAGGCGGTTCGCCAACAAAGGCAAAAGCAGCTTGAGGACAAGCGACGGAGACTGGATGCATTACGGAAACGAAAAAAGGTGAGTGACATACAGCTGTGCTTCTTTACGATACATCAGCCGAACCGAATTTGAATTTCCGTGTGCGAGCTCATCACAGCAGTACAGCTTTGACGGCATGCATTACGTTACGCCCAACAACCAACAACGGGATTCTCTCGAATACGTCTTGCCATACAGTAGTTCGAAAGGGGTTGCTGGGATCGGACATCTACCCTGTAAGACACGCATGATCCATCCACCACAGGGATCAAAAGTACAGTGTGATCGGGCAGTCTTCTCGAGCTGCCCTTTCGACTGAGAACTAAATGTTCCCGCTGGTCGGTCACACTCGCACAGCGAGCATGTTACGCGGAATCTACGGCATGTCTGTTCGATAATAGCGCTCGCCACATGAGTTATCCGTCAATCCATGCGGTGTTCTGACGACAATGCTACATACGCAATGTATGGAAGCACGTTGCACCTTTACCCCTGGTAAAGCGCAAAGGCAGGTGAGGACGACCCGCACGGTGGGCGGAGCTGCTCAAAAAATTATCGGTGAAGTAAAAACACACAAAAACAAATTTAAGGGTGCAGCCTGGTCTGATATGTTGTTTGCGTGGGTAGCAGAGCTCATTCTCAACGCTGGCCTCAGGCATTGGCTTGCGGTCTAACCACGCCCTTGGCGTACATTGATCTATTTGGTCAACTGACCATGTCAGTTCGAGTCTACATTTGTTTGTCGCATCCTGAATTTTGCTCCCCAGGCTGATACCTTCTCCCGATAAACGTGACGACTTGAAAGCAAAGACCGCGGAGAGAAGTTGGAGAAAAACACAAAAAGAGAAACTGCTGTATTGCTGTGGCACATCCTACACTTTGCCTGCTGTGTAGCCAGGCATTCCTTCCTTCTTGGTGCTCCCTCCCGCCTGATGCAGCCACACCATAACACATGCCAGAAGACAACGGAAGACAATGGAGGGCAAAGCTGTAGACGGGTTTACCAAATATTTAGATGGGATGATTACCAAACGCTTGCTGTAGAAGCAGCGGGGCACTGCCTGGTTGTTGCCCACACTTCAATGACAGCTTCAAACACACCCATGTCCCCATATACGCAGTCCGCTGTCAGCAGAATGGCTGTTGCCGCCACTGGGGCCCAACTCATGTTCTCCGCGTCAAAACCGCACTGCCTTTTGACCATCATATGCTTTCGCAATCAGGAAAAAGAAACTGCAACCAAGATCGCTAGCGATGCTGCAGCAACAGCACAGAAGAAGGCTGACGCGGGGGCAGAGAATGCAACACCTGGCTCTCCTGTGGCAACCGGAGGGGCAGACTTGGATGCTTACATCAAGAGTCTCCTCAGCACACCAGCTCCGGGCGGAGGGGCCGAGGAGGATGGACGGTCACCCCCGCCTGCTCCAGGCGAGTCTCACTGCTGCGGCGTTATGTTGTTGATCTTCCAATTCGTCTTGGGTAATCTTGCGTCTACGGCACGTATTATGGCCTCCACGGCTACCGCTCCCGCTTTGCCGAACTGCCGTGTCAGGGTCGCGTCGGACACACGAGGGGTTCCCCGGCCTGGGCCCCTCCCGTAATCATCATGTCTGTGTCGAATAACAAAGCTTGGTCAATCGCACAACCTACTTGATGATCGTTTGTAGTTGCTCGGACCCGTCATCGACTGTTTTTCCGAAAGATGGTGTAGGTGGTGGTGCGTGATCGGCAACAAGAACATCATGTACAGTACGGCGTTTTGACGACGACGTCATACGTGCAGAGCGCAAGCCAGCTCGAAAATGACACCGTGCTGCTGCTGCTGCTGCTGCTGCTGCTGCTGCTGCTGCTGCTGCTGGACGTGAATTTTGGCAGCTAGTCGACCCTGTCGAGCCCCCTCTCTCACATTCCAACCCTCCTTTTTCCGTTCTTTGATGACCCCAGCAGGCGTAAGCACTGGGGGGTCGTCTTGGGCAGGGTCAGATCGCCGCGCCGCTGAGCGCCTGAGCTCTCTCACCATCGTATGCGGCCTGGGCTCTGTGGATGTGGCCCCAAAGGTAACATGATGATGCTGGTGACAATTTTTGTTTGGATCTGCTGTTGGTGTCGACCGGAAGCAGAACACAGCCAACCGAGGCCTTGGCCTTTCCGTGGCGAAGGGGTTCTCACCGGAGGTGGTATTTCGTGCGCATGCCAACACTGCTCGTATCCCGACAGACAGGCTAGGGTTCTGCTAGCGCCTTGCGGTTTCCCGTGTGCTGCCATGCTGCCATGACACGTCTTCTACCCTTGTGCTGTGTTCCGTGCTCTTCCTGGGTGCATATGCCTACCTGTACCCTGTGCCGTGCAGTCGATGGAGTTCTATGACAAGGGGTGTCAGGCGGATCTTGGAGGGGCTGCGGGCACGGGTGCGCTGGGGACTGCTGGGGCAGACGAGGGCGTCGATGCGGTAGGCGCACAATCGTCATCCTTGGCTAAGAGAACACCGGATAAGAGGCGCAACCACCGCAGGTGACGGTGGTAATGCTTTTGAACCCCCGTTGGATTCGCCATTACGGCGGGAGTCCGATTATGTCAAGCTATGCGTTGCTCGAAGACTGGGAAACCTGGCGGCAATCCGGGTCAAAACATCAAAACAGCCAGTGTCTTGTCTTTTCGGCGCTCCTTGACTTCGTGTTAATCCAAAACGTCATGCCCGCCTGTGCAACTCGTGCGATACGCCATGAAATTCCAGAGAAAAAATGGCCAATACCAAAGCTTGCACGGGTATGTACTCTTGGATTTGTTTAAAGCGCTATCCGGTGTTTACGTTGCCCAACTTGTGCATCGGGAAGCGGCTCATGTTCCCCCCCGCCTGTTGGCCCACTCACGGCTGGAACAGGGGCAATTCTGTTTTCATTTTGGCGACGATTTATCGTGTTTGAGCTTGCACTCCAACAACAGACACGCACTGAGCAAGCCTGAGGAAAGTTGAGTGTTGCACCTGTATGTTTCTGTTGAGCAATGACCCAGCAACACAGTCAGCCTTGTCTCAACCCCAACCTGAATCCTGAACCCAAACACGAAATGCTTCTCATGTTCAGGGTGTTTGGGCGTGGGGGCAAAGGGGTGCCGGTGCCGGACGGATCGGAGGGGGAGGACCTTGGTTATCCCCCGAGTGGTGCACCCAGCCTCGTCGCAGCATCCAGCCCATCAAGGTGCGTATGCACCTGTAGATCGCAGTCATGTAGAGTTTGTTTCAACCGTCAGGAGTTGACACTGTTGAATCTGTCTTTACGTTATACAAGGGAAGGGAACGTTTTTCTTGTAAGGAGTCGTCTGTCTACTGCAACGATGCTCCAGCAGTGCTCCAACGGTGTTTTATTGGTTGGACCTCAAGACCCGGAGTGCGTGCATCAACAGTTTTAGTGGAGAATTGGCCTGACATTGAAGCACGCGGTGCACAGAAATGCATTAATTTCCACTGGTCTGAGGACGTGTTACTTGGAGGAGGAAACTGCCTCCGATGCTTGGAGCCAGAAACTGCCTCCGAACAAACACCTGAAGCACACGCTATTGATTCCTGCAGGCAGCCAGCACAACAACGAGTTGATCCACTCTCCCAGCTTGCGAAGAAGGCCATTTGGAGCATTTGAAGCAGTAGAAGGCATGGATATTTACCTGCGTATGAGTCTGTCCCCGTGTGTGTTGCTGTACATGCTAGGCCTGGAGTCAGGCAACCGGTGGCGTCGACTCCTGGTTCAAGGTCGGGAAGGTGGACAGGAGAAGGGACTGGAGGAATGACGGCCTTGCCGATGACTCCCCCCGCTACTGCAGCGAAGGCTCTGTCGGTAGAAGAGAAGAAGGAAATCGTGCAGACAGACCACTTCCAGGCAAGCGAGGAGTGTTTTGTGTTGTCCTCTTTGATGACATACGATGTTTCGATCAGGCGATGTAGTTGCGTCGTGTTTTTTGTCCCCGCTTTTGTCTAGAAGCGCTAAAGCACGCTCACGCGGAGAAACTATCATGCGAGAGCAGCACGGCAGCGACGACGGCAGCAGCGACAGAAACAGGGCAACCAGTGTATTGGCGTAGCGGCGCTTGTGGTCTTCCACGCGAGTATTCGTAGAGTCAAGTCAAGTGTACAAGAGAGTTCTACGAGAGAGTTGCCCTCAAAATCCTCACGCTGTCAAGGTATTGGTGACGACGTAGGTAGGATACAACGGCGTTACGGTAAAGGCACAGATCAACCGCTACCCACGCGGGTCTGTCCAGCTCTCCTACAGGACGGCAAGAGCAACCACGTGCATGCTTCATCCACACCACGCTAACCGTGATGTCTCATGGACGACTGAAACCGTAACCCCTCCTGCCTGCCTGGTATCCGTGAAACACACCGACCGCAGGATTTCTTGCGGCGATCCTCTCGAGTGTTGGAGCGTGCTCTGGGTGAGAAGGAGGCTTTGGACGTGCTGCTGGACTATGCGGGGGACGATGGGGACAGCGGCAGGGGGGACCAAGGCCAACGTTTGAACGAGGCCATGACTCTTCACGAGGTAGTCACCACGTCTGGATGAATGCACGGGGAAGGTCCTCCCGCACGCCGTTCCCTCTTCACCCCTCGCCCTTGTGTTGTTCTCTCTCTCTCTCTCTCTCTCTCTCTCTCTCTCTCTCTCTCTCTCTC